CTCTTTCCTGCTTATGCAGGGGGTCGGACTCGATGATCTATTGAGGTCCCTTCTGACCCTAACATCTATGAATCTATGACAAAGCAGCCATCGCCATAGCAAACCACTGACCTGCGCAGTGGTAATCGCAGCGAGAGGAATTCTTGCTGGGATGTTAACTTCTTATTCCAGTTCTAAAGCTTTGTCAGACTCTGTACCTGTAACAGGCTCAAAGCCTAAGTTGAACTGTCCCCAATCTGTATCCTGTTAGGGAAGAGTCAGTGTTGGCTCCTTCCACTTGTTCCCAGTGTAATGGTGACTTCCCCCAGGTTCAAATCTTACTGTATCCTTGGATAGCTCCATGCTCCCTTCTTCCCTGCCCTCTCTAAGTGGTAGGACTGAGGTCCTAGCCTGTGTGAGGGAAGCCAAAAGGTAGCAGTGCTGCAGCAGAAACCTCAGTTGTGGGTAATGGTTTGATACGTGGGGCGCACTATCCCCGGACTAAAATTGGTGGCACACTTCACTCTGCAGTCTTTGGGTTGGATCTGGTCCGTGGATCTCATCCTGCTGTGTGGGGCTGACCTGGCTGGGGTCTCATCCCATCCGCTTCTTCACGGCATGCTTCTGCGTGTACCAGTCTACACACGCTGGGTTAGCAGTGGGGATGAACAACCTTTTTTTGGCCGATGTGCTACAGATTTGAAGCCCAGACCCTCCCCAGGTGCCGCTCTAATTCCCATCCCCTTCCCAATCTGCTGCTCTGCTTTCCGCTCCCTCCCAGATCTGCCGCATGCCCCACACAGAGGCTGCCCGTGCATGTGCAGGCTGACCACCCCTCATCTACAGCACACTCCCCGTGTGCCTATCTCAACTGGTCTCTCGGCTCTTGCTGCGACTTCGGAGAGCGCACCTGACGGAGCTAAATCACTTAAACGATGGTCTGATTAAGCTGGCCTGCTTCACTTGTCATGACTGGGGCTCCCTAGCAAAGGGAGTGTGGTGAAGATGCTTGAGACCTGCTTGCACGTCACGTTGTGCACAGTAACCTCTCCTTGTCCCAGGTAAAAAGAGGACACTTGGGGCCTGGTTCACGGGTTGGCCAGTTGTCAGTCAGTGGCAGAAAGGGTGCCTAAGGAACAATGACCCTGTTGGGATGTGTGTTCAGAGGCCCTGAAATAGGCCGTCTCTAAGACTGTGGCATAGGGTTAAGTCTTTACCAAGCCCATTGTCCAGTTGCACCTGGGTAGGAAGACACCTGATGCTGAAGGAGCCTTTTGGACTGGGTTAAGTAAAACTTACTTCTCTTCCCTGGGCTCCAGTATGGAGTCCTGTTTAGGTGGCTCAGCGGCGGGAGAGGTGGGGAGCAGGGGGATTTCGTACTACTGCGGCTGCTTCTAAAACAGTTGTGAAGAGAGCATGTTTCCAAACATCTGGCTCATTCTCCACCCTGGTTAGGGGGTAGCTCTGGGCCCTGCACAGGCTTGCTCAGGTGAAGCCCAATAGATTTATCTTGGGAGGTTACAGGAGTCTGGAGCTAAGCTTGGCCCAAAGGATTCCCGTCCCTCTTGTCCCGCTCCCAGCTGTGACTGGTGATGCTGTGAGAGGAGGTACGTGGATGCCGTTGAGCAGAAGTGTATCCGGGGCCCAGGCTGGGCACTGCGCAAACACAGCTCTCGTGCCAAAAGCAGGACCGGGTGCGATGGGCTGGTGGGGAGGGTGCGGTAGGTGATGCGAGCGCACTGGGGTCCGTTCCCCCACCATGGACTGCGTGCAGTCTGCAGGCTCCGCGTCCTAGCAAACAGTTTGAGCCCCTAGCCATTAGCTGCAGGTTTCCATAAGGTGTAATGGCAGGGTCTCAAAGGGATGCCCTCCCAGAGCAGCCAGGCATGCGAGCCTCTGAAAACTTGGGATGAGTGTAACTCTTCCAGAAGCTACGCTTGTTGGTCACACGAGGCAGATGGCCCCAGCATCTCTCAATCCCTCGGGGCCACTGCTGAAGGAGGTGCATTTAACAGCTCTGCCAGCTTAGAGGTTCAGAGCCATCGCTCTTCCCTCTTTGCAGGCACTAGTCCAGTCTGTTCGGGCCCTGTGCTGTGCAGCAGGGAGAGCCGATGTCTCCCGTGCCCCACGCAACAGAGGTTGGTGCTCCAGAGGCTGCCGGGGGTTCGAGGCAAGGGTCCTGGGTTGCAGACCTCATTCCGCTGCCAACTCCTGTGTGGGCCTGGACAAGCTGGTTCCCCTCCCTCCCTCCCAGATTAGAGGGCTGCAGTAAGGTAGAGCAGCGAGGTGTCGTGAGGACAGGGTGTCTTGGCAGGGACTTGGACCAAGGTGGAATAGGAGTCGGTGGCTGGAAGGGAGGCAAATGCTTCTAACAAAGAAGGCAATTTGGGATCTCTCGATCTCTGGAAGTCATAGTTTCATAGATGTTAGGGTCGGAAGGGACCTCAATAGATTTCATAGACATTAGGGCTGGAAGGGACCTCGGAAGATCATCGAGTCCAGCCCCTGCACAAAGGGCAGGAAGTCAGCTCGGGTCATAGGATCCCAGCAAGAGGAGCATCCACTTTCATCTTGAAGGTGTTCAATGTAGGCGCTTGAACCACCTCCGGTGGCAGGCTGTTCCAGACCTCGGGGGCTCGGACAGTAAAGAAATTCTTCCTTATGTCCAGCCTGGAACGATCTTGAAGTAGTTTGTGACCATTCGACCTCGTCATCCCTTGGGGCGCTCTGGTGAACAAACGTTCCCCCAGATACTGGTGGTCACCCCTGATAAACTTGTAGGTGGCCATCAGATCACCCCTGAGCCTGCGCTTTTCCAGGCTAAAGAGCCCCAGGGCTCTCAGCCTGTCATCGTAGGATCTGTTTCCCTGACCTCTGATCATGCGCGTGGCTCTTCTCTGGACTCTCTCAAGCTTCTCCACATCCTTTTTGAATTGTGGAGCCCAAAACTGGACACAGTACTCCAGCTGCGGCCTCACTAAGGCCGAGTACAGGGGGAGAATGACGTCCCGAGATTTGCTTGAG